TATTTTATTAATCTTCTGTAAATCATATAAGGAATAAAAAAGATGAGAAGGGTTTAATTACCCTTTATTCTCCAGAAATTACAGATGCTCCCGCACTTCTGGATACAAAGACCAACCACTTGTGGCCTGAACGAAAAAATATAAGGATTACTCACTAACTAAATTTAAATAAGAGAGTAACTCAAATGCTTTACACAGCCTAATAACACTATAACTTGCCTTTTAGACTTATACGTACGTATTATGTAAACTTCGGAAAAACTACGGTAACGTCTTCAGTATTAAGAGAACTAAACCTCTGGCCGAAAAGGCGGACAGCAACTGACTTGAAACGCGTATGAAAACAAAATGGCAGGAAGGCTCACTCTCTCTCTCTATATCTTTAATTCTTGGAGAGCCGCAACTTAAATACTTAAGAATTACAAGCACGATTTGCATAAACATAATGACGCGTTTATTCTGGCTGGAAGTGGAAAATAAGAGATGACAGTAAAGTTTTAAAACAAAATAAACGTTAGTCAAACTTCATATCCTTATAACTTTAACTAAAGATAACTGTTAAAAAGTAGGATAAACCTTACAACTCTAAAGACTAAAGCTACTTATTGCTAGGTTTAGTAAATTACAAGGAAAACTGAGAAAGGGTGTAAAAAAACCTTTAACTCAAATCAGAAGACTCTACTCGTAACTTACAGAACAGCCAGCCTTTATGGCTTAAATCAAAAGCAACGAATTTAAATTAACCAAGTAAAATGTAAGTTAGCCAATGCCTACTCACAGAAAGAAACGTACAAGCTGGCTCTGACTTAATATCGGTGTCACAAGTATTAATGACGAAAATAAGGCAACGCTGCAGATATACTGCTCTCAAGAGAATCCGTTAGCAAACGTGACCTTTAACAGGCGGAACAAACTCTAATTCTACCCTCTAAAACCTTTCTTTAAATACTATTCCTTTTTCTACCTCATTCAATACACGCTTATATTCTGGCAAGAAACTGAATTGTTTGGTTTATTTGATTATGGCAAAGCACTTGGAGATATCAATCTAAGAGGAAGGTGGAGAACTTTCTAAGAGAACTGGCTCGCGTGCACGTTAAACATGGGGAAAACCCATGGGAACGCCCATGCAGCCAACCCGTTCATAGGATTCGGACCTCGCACCGAACGACCAGTGTCCAGCGACTTTAACTCTCGGCCACTGGTGGACTTAACAGGAAAATGGAAGAGAATGAGAGCAAATAATTTAAGTTTCTTAGGATGGTTAGGTGGTTAACAGGTGACAGGTGACAGAGGACGGGGACGCCTGATGTTTAACAGAGGTAAACAGGCATATGTCCCTCGCCCTCCCCTATCTAGTGACTGCAACTCCCTCATAGGAGCCTCATGAGGCCACTTTGGGAGTTTATTGAAGAATTTTACGTAATTGTACATGGCCATACAGAGGCGTCTTAAGAATACATTTGTTTTGATCGATAGGCGAATGATTTGTGACATCTTGGTTTGTTTTAAAACGCAAATTACAGCATACACATTCAGCGACAGATTTGATAGCAACAGAAGGATCGATTCGATTGAGATTGACTGGAATTAAACGAGGCTCAACATTCATACCCATTTTGCATCTCGGTCTTTCCAGAATATCCCAGACAAATCGGAACTTTTCGCAAAGTCTGGAAAGTATCCGATATGGTAACACAAGGAACACTAGAGGAGCATCAATTCTGAATTCGTCAGTGTTGCCAAATATTAATCACTTTTTTATATTTTTGGTAATGAAGGTGCGGGTTCAGCTCCAAACCACTCAAGTGCCATCGTTATTGTGCAGATTCTTACTGTATGAAAGTAGGCGCAATGAAAATTATGATTGAAGATTAAGTCGTAAATACTAAAAGGCTGAGAAACATGCTTTAATTAAAGTAATACGGCGGATATCAGTTATAAGGGAGTTCATGCAATAGGAATCAGTGATAATATTTATAGATTTGCAGTGTTACTTTCGAACAGAATTATAGAAATTTCTTCCTCTCTTTTTTTTTTTTTTTCTTCTTTTTTTTAGTCCAAAGGGGCAATTTGCCGCTCAGAAGAACTATTAATTTCATTTCGGCATTTTGCGTTCATTACCTACAAGCGTTGTTTCACGTTTAAAATTTTTGCCACCAAATATTATCACCCTGTATTATATTTAAAGAAATTAAATAATGAAGAATCTGCATAATGTATGTATGTCTCGCATTGTGCTTAAACAACGGTACCAGAGCCATCCATTTGAATAACGTAATCCTCCGCGATATGGGCATCCGGAAGACCAAATTTGAAATTTGGAATTTGTTTATTACGATTCATATTTTGTAAACTTTAACGAATTTTTATTAACAAACTCAATGATTTCAAGAGAGCAATGGCAACGTTGTACAGAAAAAAACATTTTTATCTCCAGAGCGTGAGACTGTGTATTGGCAATTCTAAAGATATGCTCATTTTAAAATTATTTTGAGATATTGCTCTTGAACGGAATTTTATGGTTTAAGTGCGAAGGATATGATATTTAGTAAATAAATGTAACACACAAAATGTTAAAAAACCTCCCCTTTGGACGTAATTTAAAATCCGAAACCTTTTAGATTTTTTTTTTTCCAGAACGTTCTCCCTCAGCTGCAGGAATGAAAATTAAGAACGGCGGTGCTCATCCAATACCAGTTAAAACAATAGTCTATAATATTCGAGAAAATATTCCTAACAGAAGAAAACACATGTACGGGCGCAATGTGTTGATGAGAAAGCATGCTTTATGTTTTCTGTTTTATTGTATATGTACCACTAAGTTGCAGTGAAAGTACAACCGTAAAAGTTTTATATTTAAGATAACATTAAAACTTATTGTTTCAGTTCATAAGACATTAATGTCTAAAAGTAAATTGAAAACAACGCTGTAAAGCAAGTTTAAATCTTGTTGAACTGCATTCTAGAAACGATCTCTTTCACGTACGTACCATCCCTTACCTTATTGTTGTGTGAGGGGTTTTTCGTTTCACTAGTATCTATCTGTTGCCTCAGCAACTCTATAAACTTTTTTAATTGTTTCAGTTTCGCACAGAAATAGTTTTCTTTCTCGATCTCTCTTCTGGTCTCCTCTTCGTACAAAGCACAGATTAAATTATTGCTATGCATGTATACATGACAGAAATGATTCACAAGAACGCATTGTCTATTGAAAGTTTTCCGAATGTAGTCAAAATGGGGTTTCGTGCTATTAAAATTTTAATCATAAAGTGTTATTTGTTGCTGAAGTTTAAATTTTTCAGTTATTAAATAATAACAGCAAAACGCGTAAGCTACGATTCGTACCATCTTATCAAAATGTGTGCACACTTCTCAGTGTAAAAAAAATGCACTCAATATTTCTTAATATGTAAAAGAAATGCATCGGAGGGAAATAAATTCTTTTTAACTGCATTCTTATTTTTCTGCATTGTTATACTATTGTGTATTATTTTGCTTAAGTTATTTAACAATTTCTTGCTTTTTGGGATTACAGTTTCAGAGTTTTTTACCTTTAATTGGATTTGTGGCCACATGTCCTGCCTACAAGCTCGTATTTCTTATGTAGAATTGTAGATCTTTCAAATCTAAGTCCCATAACGTTTATATTGTAAATATATCTCAAGACGTACGTGAGAAATAGGAAAATACTATCCTGAAGTCCTTTGCAACACTTGCCGATTTTCTATATAATTCAGAAAAGCAGATTTTTGAATCTTTGTGACCGATTTTTCCCTAAGTTTCTAGAAATCCATGCTGCACTATATAGCAATACGGCTGAAAGAGCTAGGGAATTAGTTGTTATTCAACTGTAAGATGTAACGGTTCAATGACAGTTAGCTGGATTGTGATTCAGAGTTTACTCTGTGAGAAATTTGGGAAACTGACGATATCTTCTGTGCACTTAAGATTAATTTCTTTATATTTGCGTTCTCCTTCGGCTATCTTTAGCTATTTATGGTGCTATGTGTCGTGAATTTTTCATACTTAATTCTGAGTTTCTTCCTGCTTATGTGGAATGATTATCTGACTCTTTGCTTTGGTAGACGGCAAAATCTGTTCTTTTCAAACATCTGAAACGCCCGTAAATTCGAATTTTCGGTGGAATGTATTTCCTTATCCGTTGTGAAGTAGAATATTATAGCGTCAACAATAACCTACTTAAGTGAAATCATTACTTCTCTCTTGGGGATCTTTATGCTGCTTCAGCCATTGTGTGCAGCTAGGACAGGATTGCAATTGCAAGCATCAGTAGCTAAGCAAAGAGAGGAAAGCTGCATTCAAATAATCAAAAGAGTGCTTGCGATGTCATTTAAAAACTACCGAAACCAATGAGCCATGCACTAATGCGATGGGGAAAGCACTAGGTAGAAAATGGAGGCAGGCGTTCGGTCGACCTGCCGAAGTCTGAATGCACGGACGTTTCGGGCGATTTCGCTGTGAAAGAGTTACAGAGATATCTACGAATCGGTTACCCACAAATGAAATGCATTTAATATTCAATAATGAATAATTATTCAGTTTTAGTAATCATTTTCGAGTTATACAGGTTTATAGTTGATCTTTCGGACGTCATCAACGAGCTCAGCTCGCGTGTAATTACGCACTCCAGACGACGCAAACGAACAAGCTCGCATTACAGATTTATGATTGACAAATGTGTAAGTCACTTTAAAAACAGACTTCTTTATAAAGCGAGATTGGATATTTAAATCCTTTTAAGAAATAAAAAGGAGCTCACATATATTAGTAATAAGTTTATGTAAAATAGATTCCTGAAAAATTTTAAAATATAAATTTGCTTTGATGTTTTATCGTCTGAAATTTTGTTATTAAGAAATGTGATTCAAACGCTCTTAAGTATTTAAAAAATATAGGCTTCATAAAAATTTTGTTTAACACAATCTTGCTGCTCGAAATTGTATTTCTAACACAAAATACGTTTTTGTTTTTTTTAGATCCTCCCGGTGTTCCAGTAATAAAGACATATTATGCCACATCTACTGCGATCAAATTAACGTGGGAACTTAACGTCCTTCCTAGTGCTCCAGTTTCAGGTAAATATTCTTCTGCATATCATTAAGGATGAATCATTAAACATGAATTTTCAAGTTTTCTGATCATCATAGGCCTGATATCAAAAACTCAATTCCAACATTTAATATTTTTTTAACTTATTCAAGTAATAGTTTCGATTATTTTCCATGCAGCGTGGCTCTAAGAGGCTAAATATTATTTTAGCTGGAAATTATAAGGACAAATGTGCATGAAAGTACAAGACAAATGAAAACGCTTTAGGCTGACTAAACTGCGTATATGTTATTCTGTTCGAAATTACATTAAAATAAAACAATAGAATTAAGCGCATAATAACATTTTTTTAGTTTTAAGCAATGAGCTACATTTCGCAAGAGAAGAAGAGAAAGAATGATCTTCTTTCTTCACATTAGCTATGTATTAGTCACGTGTTCTGTGAGGTCATCTATCTTGTTTGTTTACCTTAGCTAACTTAAGTCACGTATAAAATTTCATTGCATAGAAAACTGTCAAAAATATTGATGAGCGTGCAAAACATTTCCTGCGCATGCGACGGTAACAGATTTGCCGCAATTTCTTTTCATGTCTGTTTGTAATGGGTATGCGAAGTATGTGAAAAAATTGTGTATCATTTGAAAGTATTATTCAAGTTATCTCCCGAGTATTTTAAATCAGAACTGAAAACTTTGTAAACATTGCCTAAAACGCAGATCTTTTCAATTTGGATAATACACTAGCCGACGTAGAAAACGCAACACCAAGAAAGATTGAATAGAATGCGATGTTAGTTGATACATAGAAAGAACATGTACATGTAAATAAATTATGTTATTTATATAAAGATATATTTGTACAGTGCTGAAAGGTACAGGGAACATTTAAGATGTATAACCACATTTCGCGGTGATGCAAGCTGCAAACGTTCGAGTACAGATTCAGTTAATATGTGAACAGTGTCCAGAGGATAGAAGCCCATATCCTCTGAACGGTCTTTCAGACTTTGTCCTCCGATAACATCTAGGGCAGAGCAGACAAAGGACGACAAATCGCGCCCCAGATAGGCTCGATCGTCGAAAGATCAGAGAACATTGCAGACCAAGTAAGCAATGGGACATGTTACAAGACTTGTCGGCTAATTGCCGTGTGCGGTGTCACGTTGTCCTGCTGGAAAGTACCATTTTGCAGTCGCTGAAGGTAAGGCAGGAAAACAGGCTGTAGCTTCTCATCAATGAATCATCGTGCCTCTAATGTGCCTCTAATGCGTGAAAGGGATGACCAGCTATCATGACTGATGGCACCCCGTAGATGCACCCGTTCGCGTCAATGGCAGTCTTCGCAAAAGCGAGTTTATGTGCAAGCCACATGTCGAGAAACTGTTCTTCCAGATATTGAAGCAACCAAAGCTCCATGTACGTTTCACAAAATCTTTATAGGAGCCGATTGTGGGGATGTCGATACTTCTCTTCATATGCATCTATCTGTGTGTTCTATAGTACCTCTACATGAAACTTAACCTGGTCTTTCGAGATTTCACTACTTAACATTTCCTTCATCGATCCATAAAGACCAGATGCTATGCACAGTGGATACATCTGCATACGTTTCACCAGCGATAAGACGAAAAGACCAAACAGCCGTACGTAAACCAACATTTTGACTCGTTGTAAAGCGATCCTTTTTCTGGAATTGTTTTGTGGTGCAACATCCATGTATTGTTGATCAGTCCACCATTTCCTTCTCTTTTATCTAGTGCTATAAACATGTGACTAATCTGCATCTTACATCATCCAGATGACTTGTTCCGCTGCGTATTCTCCGAAATTTTCATACTCATATGGTTTCATACTCATGGAAATTTTCATACTCATATGGCCAAATCTTCATGGTGTTGCATTTTATATGTCAGGCAGTGTATGTCGGTTGAAGAGAAACTGAAACAAGATCTTTTAGAAATGCGCAAAAAACGTGTTCTTGAAATACACTCTGAAAGCTATACTTTGGAATAATAGTGGTGTGTGGCTATGAATATTTTCTCTAAACTTAGTTAAACCTTAGTGAACTGAGCTTATCCTATTTGCGATAACATACTCAAGCAAGAAATTCAGAAACTGCTTAGATTCACAAGCAGACATGCTAGCAGCAACAAAGTACGAAGATTAGAAAAACTCTGACGCAATGAACAGGAACAAAAAATCATTAATTTTTGGAAGATTTATGCAAATGTTAATATTTTAAATATTCCATGCTTAAATTTGTTTATAATTAAAATTTGATTATAAATTTCGTTTTCTGATTTTTTAACTGCTTCTAGGGATGCGAGAATATATTTAAAATTTTTCAGAAGTTGAGTACATGAAAGTTTTGGGAATCCAAGGTCTAGATCAGGGGGGTCAACATTTTTGTACTACCACCCACTTTGTAGGCAGTAAATTTCCTGTACAACCCACCCATTCACAGTAACTTAATATATAGCACAACTGCAAAGAAGTTTTTAAGTGGAGATTTAGCAAAAATATTTGGTTAAATTTATGCATTTAGTTAAACTATATTTTACAATATTAAACATTTGATAGACAGAAAATTCTTTAACCAACAAGAAAGCCGTATAAATATACGGAACATGAGAGAGCTGCGCGAAGGAGAATGGTCAAGTAGAAAAATAAACTATAATGGGTATATATATCAACATATCAATGCATGTTTTGATCTTCCTTGATCATTATCGGAAAAAATCCTCCACCGCCCACAGTGAAAGCTTAAGTCGCCCACTAATGGGCGGTAGGGACATAAGGAATGTGTTAAATACCTAGGATGTTACCTGGACAGTAAACTCACATGGATCACCCATATAAAAAAAGACACAAACCTCCACAAATGTACTAATACTTTGCAGACGAATCGTTGGAAAACAATGGGATCTTAACCCAAAATCTGCTCTATGGATTTATACTGCCATAGTCCGGCCAATGCTTTCTTACGGATGCGTGGCCTGGATCAATGCTATTAACAAAAGCATATATGAAAACATTTTACAGAAGGTGTAATGACTTGCTTGCCTATGCATTAGTGGGGCTTAAACAGTACACCTACTTTACTACAAATTCCACCCTTGAAACTGTTCTTGAGCGGAGAAGCAATTAAAGCCATGTATAGGTTGAATAAAATTCGCACATGGTGCCAAAGGACAGGTTTTGGTCATAAAAGCCACATTAACATATGCCTCGACTTCGGCAATGAGATCCCTACAATCTATATGCCCAAGGTTGCAATTACTAAAACAATAGTTCCAGATAAACTATTCTCAACTTATATACCAAAAAGGAATGAGATAGAATCTCTAATTGACCTAATCCCAACAGGATCAGTTGAATGCTACATAGATGGATCAAACTCAACTTCACTGGAGCTGGAGCTATTATAAGAACCAAAGGATCTGGAGAAGATTTCATTAAATTTCATCTATACCTTGGTAAACTAACAACTGTTTTCCAAGCCGAGGTTCTGGCGATCAATATATGGTCGCCAGGGAGCTCTTAGCTAAAAATACGGTTGACAAGAATATATGTATTTTCTCTGACAGCCAATCAGCCATCTTTGGCATGTCTAATAATGTCAAGTCACAAAACCGTGTTTTGAACTGTACTGAAGATCTCAACTCTCAGGCTCAGGCTCATAACACCATTAGTTTAGTTTGGGTCCCAGGCCATTGTGATTTTGCTGGAAATGAACTTGCCGATAAAGTAGCTAAAGATGCTTCGCAACTACCCATATCTGGCCCAGAATCATTTTACCCAGTTTCATATCAAACTGTTAAAAAGAAATAAGAAACTGGATAAAGAACAAACATGATGATATATGTATGGTCTAAGCTACCAGACTGTGTTCATTCTAAATTAGTGCTCAGTATACTCAACTTATCAGGTAAACTCATACACCTTAGTAGAACTAACTTATGCCAGGTAATTCAAATTGTTACCGGGCATGCTTATCTGGCCAAGCATCTCAACAAATGTGATCTTGTCGAATCTTCTCTCTGCCCGGCTTTCGGAAAAGAAGAGGAAACACCTATTCACTTCCTGGGACGATGTTCCGTGTTTTCTGTTCCTAGAAACAAATTCCTTGGGTTTCCCTACATCAGCTTCGATTAGGCCTTTCTATACAAAGGTCTGTCTGGCATAATAGGGTTCCTAATGTTTACTAAACACCTACAGGTAAGGTGAATTTGAAACCACAAAAGTATAAGCAATGAGACGCCCTGTGAGTCCTTTTTTTTTGGGGGGGGGATAAAAGAAACTATGTTGGGAATTCCCTCTCACACCTGTGTTTTGGAATATAAATACAGATATCAAATTTATATACACCACCTGGCCACTTGACTTATGGAAGTACCTCTGTCCCTCCTTATTTAACTTATTTTCCAGACTCACCATCACACCCTTGTTTGGTCAAGAGTTGGAGTTTGGTGTTTGGGAGGGATTGAATAGGCTCTTCATCCAGTATGGGAGTTTTAACGATTTAACCAACAACCTGAATTTAGAGATTGGATCTTTTACTAATACTATATATATTTGGTGGCAATTTGGGATCTTATCTACTTACTTACTATAGCCATTTAAAATCTTTGTTTTAAGTGTTCAAATGGCGGAAGAGTAATGGGCAACATTGCCTAAACTCTTTTCTTTCTTTTTATAAGAAGGAAGTGCCACCATTGTTATGTTATGTAATGGGCGGTAGGGACCAGATTGACTATCCCTAGTCTAGACAGTCATTTGCGGAGTAAAGAAAAATAACAAATGCTTATATACAACATCTAGTTGCTTCTGCTTTAATGTTTATAATCTGTACATTTCTAAAATTTTATACATTAACAAATTGTAATAATCATTCATCTAAATTAATTTAATAATTTCTTAGACATTAAGTAATGTTCAGCATTGACGTTTTATATTATTTATAGAAAATAGATAAGATGAGTTCTTTTCATTTTAATATTATTTTAAGTTAAAACAAGGAATGTTATTACCTACATTCGTCGCGAAAGAAAAATATTTATCGCTAAATCACTAGTATAATTTCTATCAACTATTATTTACGCGCACTGCACACGTATTTCACATTCGAAATCAAGTTTGCTATATCCGTAACAAGTAAGGAGTTATAACGACAATAATATTATTGTACTTTTAAATATTTATCTCATGAATATATTTACAGGTTATATTTTGCATCACCGGTTAGAAGACAATCACTGGCAAGAAACTCATCTAAATGGAGACAGAACTGTGTACACATTGAGAGATTTGCAATGCGGTTCAACTTACTACATTTATTTAGTTGCCTTTAACTCTGTTAGTCAGAGTAACAGCAGTGAGATAATATCAGCTAAGACCAATGGAAATGGTATATATTTCTTTCAATGGCATGCAATTTATAATAGTTTATATATCTAAATAACATTTTAATGTGGTGACAGGCTTCTGTTATAGCTGTAATTTCTTACAGTATTATGTTAATATTTAATTTACCATAATATTGTAATAAATTACAGCTCAGTATTATGTTAATATTGTGTAGTTTTAACAATATTATGTTATTGTTATATTTTATATTGTTTCTGTTACAGTTGTAATCAAAATGTTTGGTAGTCATAAGCAATGACGAAAATTATAGTATTTTTCCCATGAACAGTTAAATAATAAAATGTAAACAGGGAAATATTTTCCCTGATGCACTAAAAAGCAGCACACAGATCCTCACAAAAAACGAAAAGCCAACGAAAGATGTAAAAGTTTTGTAAACCAGTCCATAATATGGAAATTTGTAAAGGCTTCAAAAACTTAGAAACAGGAATTGGTTATTTCATGCTTTTGTTAATCAATTATTCAGTTAATCTTGGGTACAAGACGAAACTTTATAATATTTGATAATCTGTGTCCTGATCCGCTCCATTTATTACTTATGCATAAAGTTTCAACTTGATAGGTTCTGCAATTTTTTTTGTTATATTAGCACTTATTTTCATTCGTCCAGTTCTAATAATTCGTTCATTTCGCTCAGTCAGCTCAAAGAAATATAAATAAATAAATAAATGAATGAATAAATACAAAGCACCACTGATAGGAATTCTATATATTAGTATATATTTAAGTCACTTTAAAATGGTATTCAGCTTAGTTTTAAACAGATGTAAATTTCTGAATAAAAGAGCAGTGGCTTGGCTGTTACACATTCTTGAAATTTAATAGGAATTTCTAGGGGTACGTTCTACACTCAAATCTGAGGGAAAAAATGTATTGTGAGCAAAGGTTTTTTATAGGGCATCTTTTGAAAACATGACCAAAATTTATGGTGCTTGAGGGCGTTTTTTCCTTAGCCAAAACATTTTCAAACTACGTGTAAAAAAGAGATTTTGCTATAAGCATGAAAAACAGCATATACCTTATTTGTTCACTTATTCTTCGAACTACATTGGGCCCACCAGCGGCCGAGCGGTAAAGTCGCTGAACACTGGTAGTTCGGTCCGAGGTTCGAATCCCGCGAACAGGCTGGCTGCATGGGCGTTTTCGTGGTTTTCCCCATGTGTAACGTGTATACGAGCCAGTTTCCCTTAGAAAGTCCTCCACGAAGGCATCCCTCCTCTTAGGCAGATAGCCCTCGAGGCTTTGCCGTAATTACACACACACACTCGAACTAGATTGTAAAAATTAAAAAAATATATATTTATATTATTTTCTCCTTTTAATATTTTCTCTTTCTGAAGGCTAGTTTGTAGATGAAGTGTCTTCCTTTATTTAATTTAATTTTTACTCAGTGTGGTCGATCTGTATTTGCACTTCTGTATAGTTCGACAGCCTCATCCGCGACCATGAGCGCAAACACGCATGCGCCATTCGGACCGAATTATTCTCTAAATAGGGTGGAAGGATGGGGACTTTCTTTTCCCTCCAGCATAGCTCTTTCCGGAGAAGAGAAGACCTTTCACGTCGCAGCAAATAATACCACCCCTTTTGGACGAGTCTTTATGCTTTGGCAGAATGCCAACCACGGTTACTCTTGAGACGGGACCTCGAACTGTATTAGAATTTTCTCCATTTTGTTTTCTCTTGCATTTATTGTCTGGAACGTATTTTGGGCAGATACTTTGTTAAGCTTGCCGGACGTAGCAGATGTTCTCACAATTTAAATGACATTCCAAACATTTCAACTTACTTCTATTATTTACGTTTCAGCCCATTGTAGAAATATCTACTGCTGATGTATTCGATCTTTCGAAATCCTTGTCTTCTGTTCGCCTTTTTTTTTTACTCCGTTTCTCAGATTGGTCAAGACTCAGTCATGTGAGGTGAGCCTTGAGCTTTGTAAGGTAATTGAGCCGGACATGACGCACTCTGCGTGACTTTTCCGGCTCAGTTACCGTTATATATAGACTGAATATCCTTTAGCCATTCAAATGTTAATATTACTATGTTATAGGAATGTAGATTTATTTTAAACCACTAATTCACAAACGGTGAAAACACCTATTGCTCCCGAGCAACCATGCCAAATAAGGTATTTAAGAAATAATATCCTGATAAATGACTTTAATTACTGCTTTTATTTTCTATGTTCTTATTGTAACTGCGTTCGTTGGGAATTCAGTTGCACGCATAATTTTCCCCTCTCGGTTTTCGGACGATAGAATTTGTTTAAAAAACGGAAAAAACAGGATGAAATGCGATATAAATATATATGTTTCACTAGCCTTAATTTTGGCAACTGTTGATCTTAGACATCCCTGTCTCTATAATTTTATTTAGAAAACGTCATACTCGTTACAAAATAGTAATAATACTTAAAAGTTTTGATTCCCGTCCGATAAAAATTGACCGAGATAATTAATTTCAAAATTTGCGGTTTTTAAAGAAATTTTAAATTTACATTCTGAGATCGGCTAATAAAAAAATTAGAATAACTAGACTTCGAATTGCCCATGTTCGAGTGGAGGACTGTGTATGGTAAAACTGCGGTGACTCTATGTGTCGTCGCTTTCCCATTAACACGAACTTTATTATTTAATTTTTGCGTAAGTTTCACATCTTGATAACATTTGGTGGCAATTATCTGAAAAATGATCTGAACAAAAAGTGGCATGCATAAAAAGTGAGTTTCGAGACTGCATTATTGAATAATCTTATTATGTGCTTTAGGCTGGCAGCTTTTAACACCTCAAGTATTCAGCATTGGCCCACCAGCGGCCGAGCGGTAAAAAGCCACTGAACACTGGTAGTTCGGTCCGGGGCTCGAATCCCGGCGAACGGACTGGTTGCATGGGCGTTTTCGTGGTTTTCTCTATGTGTAACGTGGATGCGAGCCATTTCCCTTAAAAGGACCTCCACGGGATATCCCTCCCTTTCCGTGTAGTGCCTAAGGGCGGAGCACGTAATAAGTGAAAAAAGTATTCAGCATTTTTTTTTTTGAAAGTGTTGAATATTTGAGGATACACAGGATTTCGAAAGATCGAATACATCAGCAGTAGATATTTCTATAATGGACTGGAACGAAAATAATAGCAGTAAGGTGAAATGTTTGGAATGTTTTTTTTTTAAAATTATGAGAACATCTGCCACGGCCGGGAGCTTAACAAAGAATCTGCTCAAAGTACGTTCCAAACGATAAAAAGAAAAAGAACAACACAAAAGATGTAAAAAGCAAAGAACACATTAAAATTACGAATAAACGTTAAGATTAAAAGTATATGTTATTTGTTTTGTGTTACAAATTGTATTTGCCACAATTGTCTTTAATAATATTTACTTAAACAGAAGATCACAAATAAAAAAAATAATCTGAAATGCTTATAAAATTGCAAAACAGATTTTTATTAAGAGTGTTTCAGGGTAAAATATACCTTATTTCCTGTTCTCGATGGTTATTCCCATTAAAGGTCTTTCGATCGAGAAGCTAATTTCAAAATTAAACCGTGTAACAACCTGAGAAGCTGTGTTGTGATGTTTCGTAATTATTGCTCATGCTTAGAAAGTCATCTTTCCCGTTCAAACATACCAGGAGATTCAATTAAACGAAGATAATTATTTATGTCATTTACAGAGGAGAAGAACGTAATGGTTTCATTTGACAAACGCAATGTCATATTTTATCTTGTTCTTCCGAGAGCGTTCTACTTTAACTTGCTTGTTTCCTAATTATATTTCCCAGAATGAAGAAAAATATTATCGGACCGTTAGAAACGTTATGTGGACAATAAAACTGCGACGTGATGCGCTTGAGATGTTTCCACTTTTTTTATGATTATTTTTTATGCCCCGCCTGTGTTTGCCATCAACTTAATCGGATGATATGTTTCTGCTTCTTTCAGAGATAAAATTTGCGCTACTGTGTGCTAATTTTCCGTCTCTTCTTGAAGAGAAACAGTTTCTGGAGCGTAACGTCAGGTTCTAAACTTTTGTTTCACAAAAAGAAATGTGTTTCTTTTCTGAAAAGTAATGTTTTAAACAAAATGTAATCTTTCATAACTTTACGAAAGGTTCGTTCACAGTGAGCTGCATTTTTATGTAGCATGAAGCCAGACATTATACCCGAAAGTTTAAGCAGATACAGAAATTTTGGCCTACTTCAACATGCTTTTAAGTTGAGATTAACACGAACTTGAAACAGGTGTAAAATTAGTAGTGCTTAAGTTATATGCGTTGCATGGAATCAACTTAGAAAGCTATAGCGTGCAAGATGTAGCTAAAATATGATCACATTAAAATTTGTAATATGACCTACTTACCCGTAGAATTATAAATATATTCAAATAGGCAGTGGTAAAATACCTTCCAATTTTTTCAAATAATCGTCTTGCACAACTCAATCAGATTAGTAGTGTTATTTTTCTGCTGAATTTATTCATCCTCGAATTACTTTGTTGAAATTTCTGAGAATTTTAAAATTGTTTAAGATTACATTTAAATCTTCCAAACGTTTTGCACTTTGAAACTAAATTAAATATGAGGTATATTTGTGATTATTTTGCATGTAGCTTTTTCTGTTGTATCCTTTTAATCCAGGGGTTCTCAGTCACAAATAACCCACCCCCACGTTCTCTAGGAGAAGAATTTCAATGTCAAAGGAGAATGTGATCAGATTTTTATTTAAATGTTAAGTAGTTTTATGACTATAAAACGCTACTTTTATTCATGTCTTTTGTATTTATAAATATTTTCAGCACCTTTTGTCGCTTAATTTATAAAAAGCATATTAAAAATAAATCCAAGCAAATGTACATGTTAAGATACAATAACACGCCGAATAAGTATTAATTTAAAAATCAAACAACAAAAATCAGAGTTATGTTTTCAAATTTTCACAGAACTAGTTTCGATGTTTTATCAAACCGTCATCCTCAGCTGAAGAGC